GGGACCTTGCTGAAGCAGGGGAACCTGCTAGCCAAATAGACTAGCCAAACCCAAGACCTGCAGCTGTTCTTCATGTTTTAGTCTCCATGCTTTCTGGCTGGGGAATTCTGGGAGTTGAAGTCCACTCACCTTAAAGTTGCTAAGGTTGAGGATCATTGATCTAAAGTGATGGAGAAGGGAAGCTCTATAGCAACTGTGGTCATCAGGACAGATGGCAAATGTGGGGAGGATCAGTGGGGCAAATAAACTGTTGACAGTCTTGGGTCTACTGCCCAGAGGGCTGGAGAACTGAGAAGCTGAGCATTTCACGACGTTTTTCTCACGGTCCACTCAATCTGCTCCATTCTGTAGGACAAGACTGGCTTCCATTTCTGTGGAGGTTCCCTGATCAATGAGAATTGGGTGGTCACTGCTGCCCACTGCGGTGTCAGGTAAGAATGGTGCTTTTGAAAGATTTAACCAGAGAGGTTCTGAGGTTCAAATTTCTGAGGAACTAGGTCCTCTCTAGGCTTGGGGGTCAACAATGTAGAGATCATATAGACAACAAGGCCCTTAAGAAAGCGTTTCCTAGACAGCATAAATCTTAATTTTCACTTCCTCAAATGCTTCTGTGCTTCATTGCCATCCTTAGAAAATCATTAAGACCCTTAATGAGACTGCACTTGGAATATTGCATCCAATTTGAGTCACCATGATTAAAAAAAGATGTTGAGACTCTAGAAAGGGTGCAGAGAAGAGCAACCAAGATGATTAGGGGATTGGAGGGTAAAATGTTCAATGAATAGTTGCAGGAATTGGGTATGTCTAGTTTAATGAAAAGAAGGACTAGGGGAGACAGGATAGAAGTGTTCCAATATTTGAGGAGCTGCCACAAGGAAGAGAGGGGTCAACCTATTCTCCAAAGCACCTGAGAGCGGGACAAGAAGTAACAATTGGAAGATAATCAAAGAGAGATCCAATCTAGAACTAAGTAGAAATTTCCTATCAGTGAGAACAATTAATCAGTGGAATGGCTTACCTTGGGAAGTTGTGGGGCTCCATTACTGCACGTTTTCAAAAATAGATTGGACTGACATTCATCCAGATGGCACAGGGTCTTAAGCAGGGGATTGGACTAGAAGACCTCAAGGTCCCTTCCAACTCTCTTATTCTGTGTTCTTTATTAAAGTTGAGTACTGTAGCTTTTATCCCAGATGAAATCTGTTCCTGCTTCCTTGATCTTATCCAGCTGCACAGGGCTGGAGAGCTCAACTCTTCCTGTGCATTCTTAATTAACGGATATCTTTTTTTCCCCTAATTTCCCACTTCTGTGCCAGGACAAGCCACTTGGTGGTGCTGGGCGCATTTGACAAAAGTACTCCTGGGGAAGACGTTCAGGTCATCAAGATAGCCAAGGTGAGCAGGGCATCTGTGACATGGAAGCATCTTTGGGACAAAAATGCCCATCAGGCTGCGCAGCCTTGCAGAATGAGCATCACAACAAGGGTGCTAAAATAGCTTTCTTGGGGCACAGCCTGAATAGACGGTCTCATGAATTCATGGGTTGTAACGAAGAGTGTGGTTACTACGTGGAAAGAAATTAGGCTGTTGACTAGATTGGGAGGTTCAAGAAGCTTCCTAGAAGAAACGAATGGCCTGGAGATGTTCATGAAGTCACCAGGAACTGAGCTCATGAGGAGGGAGTCCAGGTTGATGAGACACAGCTAGCCAACGTTTGGAAGATGTAAAAAGAGCTAAGCAGGTTCAGACTCGGTTACTATTTGGATGGGAGATTAGGGAAAACCAACATTACACATTATGTTCGGAGGTTGAAAAGCTACCTCTGAAGAAGAAACCACAAGGCCTGAAGACCTGGCTCTGCCCAATGACGGGGCTGCAGCAATGGAGGGGGCCACTAGGTTAGGAAAGACCCCCACCTCTCGCTATTAACTTCGTGTCCCCCTCCTCCCCATCTTTTAACGGTAGTTATTACTGTTGTTATTTTTTGCTTTATTATTTTAATGTCGGTAAGCTGCCCAGAGTTGTGTCTGGACAAGAGGGGCGGCCTGAAAATAAAACAAAAATAAAACAAAAAAACCTTCAAGACGACGCAGGGATGTGTCCATGTCATCCATTTAGGTAATTGGTGCCACAAGAGCCATTTCCGAGACGTGATCCCAGCTCTGTCTTGGCTTTGACTAAATCCTTTCCTTTCCTCCGTCAGGTTTTCAAAAACCCCCGGTATAACATGCTCACCATCCGAAATGACATCACGTTGCTCAAGCTGGCCACCCCAGCCCGGCTGACGGCTCGTGTGTCCCCTGTGTGTCTGCCAAAAGCCACCGACGCCTTCCCTGGTGGGATGACCTGCGTCACCAGTGGATGGGGATATCTGCATCATACTGGTAAAAGGGGGGCTATCCTTCCTGGGGGACAGGCAGTAAAAGAGACAGGAAGGGAAGCTCTGATGAACAGGAACCTGGGTCATTTTATTTATCTAGGTTGCTTCTCTCCTTGGTTAGTTTCCGCCTGTTGCTTCTTGTCCTGCCTTCAGGGGCTTTGGAGAACAGGTGGACCCTCCCTCTTCTTTGTGGCAGCCCCTCAAATATTGGAAGACTGCTATCATGTCACTCCTAGTCCTAATGAAAAGAAAGACAAGGGGTGATGTGATAGCCATGTTCCAATATCTCAGGGGCTGCCACAAAGAAGAGATGTCAACCTATTCTCCAAAGCACCTGAAGGCAGGACAAGAAGCAACGGATGGGAACTAACCAAGGAGAGAAGCAACCTAGAACTGAGGAGAAATTTCCTGACAGTGAGAACAATTATTCAGGGGAACAACCTACCTCCAGAAGCGGTGAATGCTCCAACACTGGAGGTTTTTAAGAAGAGACTAGACAGCCATTTGTCTGAAAGGGTTTTGTGCTGAAGCAGGGTATTTCAAGGGTTTTTAAAATTGAGAGGCTGCATGGATTTATCCCCGAGTCAAGAGTCAGAGATGATATAGATGTGTGAGTGTCTTTTCTCATTTTTGTGTGTTTGATGATCTATTTCAGACAAGGTCTCGCCCAACAAATTGCAGCAGGTGGCTCTTCCTCTGCTGACCAACCAGGAGTGCAAGAAATTCTGGGGCAACCGCATCGCTGATGTCATGGTCTGTGCTGGGGCTGCAGGAGCATCATCTTGTATGGTATGGCCTTTTCTGGTCATCCCACTCTGTAATTTCTGCCAGTTGTTGTGTATCTTCCCAGAACTCCTGCTCTTTGCCATCTGGAGCAGATCTTTCTTACAAAACCATCTTTACCCCACATAGATTCTTCTCATTTCCTTAGATCTGTCTTCCTAACATCATGTCTCCCATTTGGTGAACTTCTAGAGAAGTTCTCACCATCTTCAGAAGGTCATCTGCTACTTGGTGAACTTCTAGAGAACTTCTCACCATTCTCAGATTGTCTCCCACTTGGTGAACTTCTAGAAACCTTCTCACCATCTTCAGAAGGTCATCTCCTATTTGGTGAACTTTTAGAGAAGTTCTCACTATCTTCAGAAGGTCAAAGGACTTGTATAAAGGTTTTCAAGTCTCCTATGGTCCTTATTTGTCCCTGGAGTTGGCCATTCCACTTTGGCTTGGGGAAGCAAGGAGGCCACTGTCTCCATCCTTGAAGATCTGCTGCTTGTGACCTCCTTTCCAACACTCTGCTCCATCAGCCGCTAACCTTCTTTTCTGGTTTCTCCTGCAGGGTGATTCTGGTGGTCCACTGGTCTGTCAGAAGAATGGGGCCTGGAATCTGGTTGGGATTGTCTCCTGGGGCAGCAGCACCTGCTCTCCAGCCAGCCCGGGGGTCTATGCCCGCGTTACAGAACTTCTGCCCTTCATTGAATCCACCCTTGCTAATAACTAACACTCCTCAGTAATGGAACAGCAATAAAAGCAGCCAAACACATTTTGAATCGGTCATTTATTTTTCCCCTCATGTTCCATGCAGTGTCTCAGAACTGCATTGCAGCAGGGTTCTTGAACAGGTTCTTGGGATGTGGCTGTTAATCAGAAAGCGGTGGTTATTCAACAGGTGCAGCTCAACATGTATGAGGCAGCTCATAAAATGTGTGGGTGCAGTTCAAGAATTCAGATAATATAATTATAAAGCCTTATAATACAATTATATATTATATAAGATAATGTATAATTATGTAATTGTATTATATAAAATAATTGCAATGCCTTGATAAGATCACTTGAAGCACGGCATTCAGTTTTGATCACCATGATATAAAAAAGATGTTGAGACTCTGGAAAGAGAGCAGAGAAGAGCGAGAAAGATGATCAGGGGACTGGAGGTTAAAACATGAAGAACGGTTGCAGGGATTGGGTTTGTCTAGTCTAGTGAAAAGAAGGACTGGGGGCAACAGGATAGCAGTCTTCCAATATTTGAGAGACAGCCACAGAGAAGAGGGGGCTCAACCTATTCTCCAAGGCACCTGAAAGCAGGACAAGAAGCAAAGGATGGAAACTAATCAAGGAGAGAACTAAAACTAAAAGCTAAAACTAAGGAGAAATTTCCTTACAATGAGAACAATTAACCAGGGGAACGGCTTGCCTTCAGAAATTGTGGATGCCCATCACTGGAGGCTTTTAAGAAGACTGGACAGCTATTTGTCTGAAACTGTATAGGGTCTCCTTGAGCAGGGGGTTGGACTAGATGACTTCGAAGGTCCCTTCCAACTCTGTTGTTGTTGTTGTTGTTATGAATAGAATAGAATAGAATAGAATAGAATAGAATAGAGCTGGAAGGGACCTTGGAGGTCTTCTAGTCCAGCCCCCTGCTCGTGCAGGAGAACCTATACCATTTCAGACAAGTGACTAGTCTCTTCTTAAAAACTTCCAGTGATGGAGCACCCACGATTTCTGGGGGCAGGCTGTTCCACTGGTTAATTGTCCTCAGACTCCTCACCATCAGGCAGTTTCTCCTTAATTCCAGGTTGCTTCTCTCTCTGATCAGTTTCCAACCGTTGTTTCTTTTCCTGCCTTCTGGTGCTTTGGAGAAGAGGTTGAGCCACTCCTCTTCTTTCTGGCAGCCCCTCAAATACTGGAGCAGTCATTATGTCACCCTTATTATTATCATTATTATTATTATCATTATTATTTGAAAGGGCCGCCTTGGATTCCCGGTCCTCCTTAAGCCGCAGCCGGGCTGCACCGCCTCCCTGCCGTCCTGGGCACGCCCCGCGGACAGCCATGGCCCTGGGGCGCGCTCTGGGCTGCGCGGCCAGGCGCTTCTCTGCAGCACCCGCCAAGGTACCGGGGGGGGGGCGGGGGGAGAGCATGGCGGGTAAGGGGGGCCGGGCGGGGGGGTCCCTCTTGCGGGAGGCTTCCGGAGAGCGGGGGTCGAGCAGCAAGGGAGAGCCTCCGCTTTGCACAGAGAAAGCTTGCCCGGGCCAGCTGTTGGCCCGCTTGCTTACCTGCCTACCTGAGCAGGTTCTTGGCTCTTTTCTTTGCCTCTTCTCCCCCCCCCCTCCCCGCAAAACCCAACGATTTGGTTTTTATCGGATTGTTCTGCTGGTCCCTGTGGCCCCCGGGGCGTTTGGGCTCCCAGTCGCTGGGACGCAAGTTTGCAAATCCTGCTTATCGGAAGGGAAATGTAGAGATTGAAGTTAGGATGGATTGGAGCGGAGGTGGGGAACTAGGGCCCTTTTATGACTCGTGGACTTCAACTCCCAGAATTCCTGAGCCAGGAACTTTAAGCCCTTGGGGTCTTCCGCTGCTTGAATTCCCCAGCCAGCCGTGTCTCGGTTAAAGTCCACAGGTCGTAAAGTTGGCAGAGTTGCCCGCTCCTGGATTAGAGAAAAGGGTTCAGGAAAGTGTTGCTTTGGCAGACTTCTCCGGTTCCCACCTGATGAGATCAGAGGCAGACTAGAGCTGGAAGGGACTAGCCCACAGCTGCATTGCAGACAAAATTAGCTCTACAACAGGTAGAGCTCTGCAACATTTCAAGCCCAGCAAACTGAGTGTCTGGTGCAGATCAGAAGTATAGATCTACTAGATCTCCAGTCTCTCTTCCCTGCTTTTAAAGCCCTCAAGATCTCCATTTGGGACCAAAGCTATTTCTAAAGCTAAGCAGGCCCGGCCTGGCTAATATTAGAATGGGAATCCACTGGGGAGGGTCAGCAAATGGGAAAGCCATCTTGTTCCCAAGAACAGCTGCATGAAGAGGTTTATAAAGCCACGGAGGAGTTGAGCTCCACTGGACAGAGGCTTTGCCTTTTTTAATTCCCATTGTTTGGGGTCTGTTTTAGTACCTCAGGGAAACTGGTGCAAAGCAGAAAGCAAAGAAAAGATTAAGGTGGGTCTGCTGAATCCAGGGCTGGGAAAGAGGTGCCCACGGGGAGCATAATGTAGACTTTGCCACTGTTTCAGAGGGGACAAATTCTGGCCTCCATCTTGTGTCACGATCTCCACGTAGCCTCCTTTCCTTCCCCAGGAGTGGCTGACGGAGGATTTCCTCAGTTCCCTCAGAGGGATTGTCGGGCCCCCCAATGTGTCCACAGCCGCCATTGTCCGTGAGCAACATGGGCAGGACGAGTCGATGCACAGGTAGGTTTTTGTTTACCTCAGGAGGCAGGAAATGGCGTCTCTCGCCAGAACATTTACAGGCCTCTGAGAGGCTTGCGGTGTTCATTGGGAACTTCTGCCTTCTTTCTCCTCATCCGGAGTAGAGATATTCTTTACAGGTAGTGTTCGATTTACAACAGTTCATTTAGTGACCGTTCAAAGTGAACAACAGCCCCGAGAAAAGCAACTTAGGACCATTTTTCACAGTTACGGCCTTTGCAGCCTCCCCAGGGTCACGTGATCAGAATTCAAATGCTTCGCAGCTGGCTCATATTTATGACGGTCGCAGCATCCCAGGGTCACGTGAGCCCCTTTGGCGACCTTCTGACAAGCAAAGTCAGTGAGGGGAAGCCAGGTTCACTTAACAACCGTGCTGTTAATTTAACACCTGCGGTGGTTCGCTTAACAACGATGGCAAGAAAGGGGGTAAAATGGGCCAAAAATCGCTTAACAGATGTCTCTGTTGGGCTCAACCTGTGGTCGTAAGTCGAGGACTGCCTGTATAGAGGCTTGCAATGTCCCTCCCTTCTAGGAACTGCCCCCCTGATGCCGTGGTCTGGCCCCAGAGCGTGGAGCAGGTCAGCTTGCTGGCAGCAGCGTGCTACAGCCGAGGGGTCCCCGTCATCCCCTTCGGGACAGGCACCGGTCTGGAAGGGGGGGTCAGCGCCGTGCAGGTAAGGCAGAGCAGAGGCTGGCTGGGTCCCTGCAGAGGCTTTTAGGGCTTAATGCTGTGCGAGGTCTGGCCCGAATCTTCATTGGGGGGTCTCTCTAGTTCAGCTGAGCCTCGGGGCCTGGATTGGCAAACTCTCTTCAGCCTACATTTAAGTTTTTGTGGTTCCTTCAACATTGGTTGGTGGACCTTCTGAGCTGTAGTTGGCCAGCTGGGACGGTGGAGATCAATTTTAATTCAGGATAGAGCTGGAAGAGACCTTGGAGGTTCTCTAGTCGAAATCCCTGCCCATAGCAGGAGACCCTATAATGTGGGTACAAAAGGGAAGCTGGCAAAAGGGACAGTATTGACTGTCAGCAAGAGCTGTGAGTAATTAGAGTAGACACCACCAGGAGATGGATTCCATGGCTGCAGCCTAGAGTAGGAATTTGTGGGAGCATTAATGGAATAACAGTTCTATGGAAGAGACCTTAGAGGTCTTCTAGCCCAACCTCCAGCTCAGGCAGGAGATTGGCTTTTAAGAAACTTTACCTGAAGTAAGTAATATGAACCCTGGTGGCACGGGGGTTAGAATGCAGTGCTGTAGGCTAACTCTGCCAGCTGTCAGCAGTTTGATCCTGACCAGCTCAAGCTTGACTCTGCCACCTAGCCTTCTGAAGTCGGTAAAATGAGGACCCAGATTGTTGGGGGCAATATGCCAATCATGCTTACATGATTGGCATATATATAGGGCTGTAAAGTGCTATGCGGTGGTATATAAGTCTAAGTGTTATTGCTATTGCTAATATCAAGTGTATCTTTGTAATCTGAGTCCCAAGGGTTGTGTGAACCCTGCCTGTGTTTTCCCCCAGGGAGGTGTGTGTGTCAACTTGATGAAAATGGACCAAATTTCTGAGCTTCACCCTGAAGATTTCACGGTTGCTGTAGAGGCAGGAGTGACCCGCAAGGCGCTAAACAAATTCTTGAGAGGGAGCGGCCTCTGGTTCCCTGTCGGTATGGCCCCTTGAAGACAGGTTGGGAGGCATCAGTGGCCCAAGGTGGGGGGGGGCTCCTCTAGCAAAATTTGGAGGGGCTGTGTCGGTATACCTATACGATTTCCCCACTGTTGCCTTTCGAACTCAGTGCAGGTCTACTCAGAGGGTTGGCCTAAGGCTCCTGTGATTATCGGGGCTGGGTGAGGGGCTCAGGTTCTCCTCCCCCCTTCTGTTCCCTTCCTCCTCAGACCCTGGGGCCGATGCTTCGCTCTGTGGCATGGTGGCCACTGCAGCCTCCGGGACGAACGCCGTGCGCTACGGCACCATGCGCCAGAATGTCCTCAACTTACAGGTGGTCCTGCCAGATGGGAGGGTCTTGCATACAGCCGGGCAGAGCCGGCGGCCCAGGTATCCCCTCACCTCTCTCTCTCTTCCCCCTTGGGTCCTAGCTGTGTGGATGGCAGCCAGGGATCTCCTATGGCAGAGGTCTCTGTCTGAGCGTCTTCTTCCAAAGTGCCCTTCAGAGGTTCATGTCTTCCCCACTGGCAACAAGGGGTCGGTGGTTTGCTTCCCTTTTGGAGATCAGCAGAGCTGAGTGAGATGTGCTCCCCCAGCCAGTGGGGTGCTAAAAGCATGGAAGGGGACCCCGGTTGGTTCTCAGACCTCACCAGGCTCTTCCTTCCTCTGCAGGAAGAGCGCGGCTGGATACCACCTAACAGGGCTCTTTGTGGGCTCGGAGGGGACCCTGGGATTCATCACCCAGGCCACCCTGAAACTGCATGGTATCCCTGAGGCCACCGTGGCGGCCACCTGTGCCTTTCCCAACATCCAAGCAGCCGTGGACAGCACCGTGCAGGTTCTCCAAGCCGGGCTCCCCATTGCCCGCATTGGTGAGTGGGACCCCAGATGTCTGTGGGGAAGGGAAACTGAAGCAACCTGAACAGAAGATAGAAAAAGGGGGGGGGGAAGAACTGATTGTAACCCAGACTTTTTGGAGAGGAATTTGGACACAGGTAGTCCTCGACTTACGACTGGGCACTTAGTCACTATTTGAAGTTATGATGGACCCCCCCCCCAAAAGGTACTTAGGATCTGGTTCCAAAGTTCTGTCCTCTTTCACTGTCATGTGACTGTGTTTCAAGCACTCGGCAACTCACCTGCAGTTACACCTATTTGCAATGTCCGGCAGTTGTGTACCCATGATTTATGACATTTTTGCCAAAAAACCACCATTTATTTCCAATTTTTGGCGAAACACCCCCCCCCCGTAGCAAAGAATGGATCCACTTAACAACTGTGGGTTCACTTAATGGCTATCGTGATTTGCTTAACGAGTGCCACAAAATGTTTCCAAATCAGGTCCAGTCATCTGAGGACCCACTTTACAGCTGTCATGATTTACGACCGTAATGGGCAGGCTCCATTACTGTCATAACGCGAGGACTACCTGTACTGTGCAATTCCAAAACTGACTGCCAGTCCTTGGTAGGCCAAGGCTGGCCGGGTATTCTCCTAATTTGGTACCTCCCCCTAACGCAGAATTCCTGGATGAGGTGATGATGGGCGCCTGTAACCGCTACAGTGGGCTGAGCTGTGCAGAGCTACCCACCCTCTTCCTGGAGTTCCATGGCAGCCAACAGAGCGTGGAGGAGCAAGTGCGAGCCACGGGTATGTCCCATAAAGACAGGCCGGGGAGGGGCATGCTGGGTCCCTACCATCATTCCGAGGGGAAATGGGAGTTACTTGGGGATTTGAGGATGCTTCCCTATTGTGTTTATTTTTTGCTTTGATGTATCTGCATTGGGGAGGTGGCCTTTGAGGTACAGTATCTGCATGGGAATTGGGGAGGGGGGAAATGAACCCTCAGGGCCATCTGATTCGATTCCTTTCCGGATAATGCTTGCCTGCTACCAAGGTCGCAACGGCAGGGAACAACACAACTCTCACAACAACTTCACGCCAGCCGATTGGCTCCCAATGGACTGGGGCACTGGGATGGGCTGTGGACAGGGAAATTAACTGAAAGTTTTGCGTGGGAACTTCAGATTCCGCCTGACTTCTCTGCAATCACTTTCAGTAAAAGATCCTTTGGAAATTATGCTGGTTTCGAGAGTCCTGCTTTCCTGAGAGGTCAGTAAACAAAATGGCTGTAAGTCAAGGACTGCCTGTATGAGTCAGCAGGTCAGGGCTGAATCAGTAGGACCAGGTTACCATTGGTGGCAGAAGGGGTTTATGCGAGTCTCCCTCTGCAGAGGCGATTGTGCAGTTCAATGGGGGCTCGGACTTTGCGTGGGCCCGGGAACCAGAGGCCCGTGGACAGCTATGGACAGCTCGGCATAATGCTTGGTATGCAGCGCTGGCTCTTCGTCCTGGCAAAAAGGTGAGCTGGAGGGCGGCCAGGTATCTTGAAAGAAGAGTCCCGTTAAGTCCCGTTACTTTGGAGCTTGGCTCACTTTTCTGAGTGAGCTAGAGTGATCCCCTTGCCTTGCACTTTCCTTGATCCCAGTTCTGAGTTTCAAAACTGGTTGATGGTGTGAATCTATAGCAATGTCTGTCGACCTCAGCAACCCTGAAGATGTGTGGATTTCAATTCCCAGAAATCTGGGAATTCTGGGAATTGAAGTCCACACATCTTCCAAGTTGCTGAGATCAACAGACACTGCTCTAATGCAACCTTTTACCCTTCCTCACTTCCCACAGGGCTACTCCACAGATGTGTGCGTCCCCCTCTCACACCTCCCTGAGGTCCTAGTAGAAACCAAGAAAGACTTGCTGGACTCCAACCTTACAGGTGAGCTGAATGTAATTTGTATACCTGTCACAAGGCTGTTTCGTGGTCCAGCCCAGGAGATGCAGGAATTGGCCAGTCCCTTGCCCCCCCCCCAAACTGGTCATGTGATCAGAATTTGGCCACTGGTTCATATTTATGATGGCTTCAGCATCCCGGGATTATGTCATCACCTTTTATGACAATCAAAGTCAACGGGGAAGCCATAGTGGCTACAGCCATGCAGGTGAAGCTCTGGTTTTTTTGTATATGTGCAAAAAACCAGGACGCTGCTGTCATTTTTCTTTTTTGACCTACCCTGCAAACACTTCTCCTCCTATAAGCTGACTGAGCATTCAGCTTGCGGATCCAAAAACAACAACAACAAAAAAAGGATCCAGGTTCATTCCGTTTCCAAAACTCTGTTTATTGAATACACAGCATGGTAATGTTGAGGCAAAACTAACTGACATTCCCAGACACCAGTTCATAGAATTAAATAATAATTTCTCCGGCCCAACTCCCACTTTCCAGTCTGTGTAAACAATTTCACTTTGTTATGGGAACTGTCTGCTTCTTCTCCACACCTGCTGTGGTGTCTTTGGAAATGTTTCAGCCTCTCGCGGTCTTCAGCTGAATCGTAGAGGTTTCATTTCTCCATCTTAACAATTTCTAAACCAACACTTCTAGTGTTGCCAGCCAGGAATTCTGGGAGTTGAAGTCTACAAGTCATAAAGGGGCCATAGTTCTCCACCTTTGGGTTAACTGAAGGCAAGTTTAAAACAAAGATATTAATCTTGGCTGCATAGGAGTCATTCTCAGTTGGTGTCATTTAAAGAAATCATTAACAGAAGCTGGGTTTGTGCAACATACTGAGCTCTAAAGCCAGGTTAAACAAAGTCGGTTGCACATTAATGGGTTTTCTCCCAACAAATACATCATATTGTGGCTAAACCTGGCTGGGGTTGCACAACACTGAAGCACAAGCTAGCCCAACCTGGCCATGAGAACGTCAGTTGGAAAGTGGACTGTTTGTGTCTCACTATGGCCAGAAAATCATCCAGGATTAAATGTCTGATTACAGGTAGTTCTCAGCTTACGATCAGTTGCTTTGCAACCATTTGAACTTACAACCTAACTGAAAACAGGAACTTACAATCCAGATCCAAAGTTCTGAGGGCCTCCTCCCACGGTCACATGACCATATTTCCGATTTTGGGCAAAATTGCACCATGGGTTGGCTTGATGACCGTGGCATTCGCACTGCCACAAAAAGCTGGTAAAATCAGAGACTGGACAGCCATTTGTCTGAAATGGTATAAGGTTTCCTGCCTGAGCAGGGGGTTGGACTAGATGACCTTCCAACTTTATTATTATTATTATTATTATTATTATTATTATTATTATTATTATTATTATTATTATTATTATTATTATTATTATTATTATTATGGCTTTTACAAATTAAGATTGTCAGGCGTGAGCTTAAATGGACTCCAGAAGATGGTAGAGGACAGGAAGGCCTGGAGGAACATTGTCCATGGGGTTGCAATGGGTCGGACACGACTTCGCAACTAACAATAACACAATTTAAGATCATACTGGGCAGGCTTCATTAGTCATAGCTCGAGGACTACCTATAATTTTAAATCGTATAGTAGGAGGGGTGGGTGGGTGTCCTCCAGGTGAGAAGGAACTGCAGGGTCCTTGATTTGCAAAATGATGGGGGCCGTCATCCCAGAGAACATGTTAAGGAAATTCAAAATGAGGGGTGCTGTCCCTTTCATGTCTCCAGGTCCCCTTGTGGGCCACGTTGGGGATGGCAACTTTCACTGCCTGCTGATTCTCGATCCTGGAGATGTCGAAGAAAAGGAGAGGGTGGCTGAGTTTGCCGAACGTCTGGGCAGGTAGGCGTGGGCTGGGGGGGAAGCCTTTGGTGGGGGGAAGAAAGAGCCCTTGCACACCCAGGCTGGACAAGAGAAAAGGTGGGCCTTGGCCTCATGGACAGGGACAGCCCCTCTGGATCCGTGTGGGGAAAAGGCACAAGTTACAGACGAGGAATTTAGAAAAAAATCTTGGAAAGGGGTTTGATTCTCCAATCCGGAGAAAGAGAGAAGAGCGAGAAACTCAAAATAATCCTATCTTGATTTTGTTTAATAGAAGATGGTCAGAAAGAAACCTTGTCAAGCTTTTAAGTTCTGTTATTCTATCTTGGAATCCCTACCGTGTCCGCTTGACCTGGCCTACCTTGAAGAGATAGTTTTCAAAAGTGCTCCCTCTCTTAGGTTAACAAAGTTAAGTTGGGCTCCTGAGTTTGTTTCTCACTCGCACCTTTGTCTTGAGACTGAGTCTTCCTCAAAGAGTGCTTAGCAGCTTGTGGATATTTTCTCCAAGTCCCGCCTGATATTCCTTTATCCCTGGGCTGAAGATTTTAGGCATAAAGGGTCTTCTGGATGAAGAATAGCCTTCTAAGGGAACAGATAAATTCAAGGACGGACGGATGGATGGACAGACGGAAGGAAGGAAGGAAGGAAGGAAAGGAAGGAAGGAAGGAGAAAAGGACGGCAGGAAACAAAAAGGGAGGAAGAAAGAGAAATTAGAGGACAGAGATGAAAAAATGCCAAGTTCCTCTACTTTTCTCACCTTGGAAGTGAGGTTTGGGATGTGCATTTTGATCTCTTTTCTCCAGGAGAGCCCTGGCAGTGGGTGGCACCTGCACGGGGGAGCATGGCATCGGCCTGGGCAAACGTTGGCTTTTGCGCGAGGAAGTAGGGGAAGTGGCCCTCTCCACCATGTGGCAGATCAAGATGGCCTTGGATCCCAAAAACCTCATGAACCCTGGAAAGGTGCTCTGACCTCGGGAAGGCCTGGCTGGGAGAGGCTCCTGAATTTGCTTTCCTTGCTGAGAAGCCCGGAGTGAGGCCTCTTCGCTTCCATCTCCTCTTTCCAGCAGGATCAGAAATGCAACTATTAAACAATAGGGAAGCATCCTCAAATCCCCAACCTGGGGATTTCAATTCCCAGAATGCCTCAGCCAGCATGGTCACTATGGAGAATTCTGGGAATTGAAGTCCACACATTCAGAGTCTCCAAAGTGTGGAAACTGTTCCAGAGGCATCTGTTCGATCCAATCCATTGTGGCAATACACCACAAATTCTACCTCTTTGGTGTATCTGCGAAATGTCACAACAACGCACGTACAAAAAGCAACGCTATCTTTGTCATTACCCCACACAGTCCTTCCTCAGATGCTTCAGGACTGATGTGATGTATTTCGCTGAAACTGGAGGTTGCAAAACATTCATTCGAAGAACGTTTAATCTCTTTATTTCCTTCGTTGCTAACGTTGCCTTAGGGGCAAATCTGGCTTATGCACAGGTGGCATCGACAGACCGAGGGTTTCTGTTGTGTGAGCCTGGAAGCGAAATGCCACGCTTTCCCCAGCTTTTCAGTTTATTTAGATCCGCCTCTTGTCTCTTGGGATCTTTTATTTTATTTTGCTTTGTCAAAGCTGCAGTGAATTGAAGCAGGAGGTATCCAGATTTTTCCTACTGGATTAATGCAGGATTCATCTATCAAGGAACACACAGAATCTTTGCTGATTTCTTCCTCCTCTCTTGGCTTTGCCGTTGGCCAAAAATAAGTCTTATCGGTACATGTTCCTCCTGGTAGTAGCCGACATACCAGCAGATGGGCTGGGCTATACATCTCTCCACGTTCACACCGCGTGTTGTTATCCAGTGAGAGCCTGCACTTGAGCACATGGACTTTACACTTAGGCACTCCAACTCTCAATCTATTCCGGGGTGTTATTTCAGTTTTGTTGTGCTGTGGTGTTATTTTTTTTTTCTGAACAAGCTGGAGAGTTGGTGTAATTGCAGCCTTTATCCATCTCTCCAGGTGGCCAGGGAGATATTCTTTATAGTTTAAAAAATGGTAACCTGTAGTAAATTAAATCCTGCTGCAATTTCATGATAGATAATTTTCTTTAAAAAAAAAACCCCCCGTTTTCAGATTGTGGCTTAACCAGAGCATTCCTCACAAACGTCGCTACACTTGAATACATGTCTGTTTCAAGGGACTCACATTTGGAGTGTAAAAACAGGTGTGGTAAACCCACCCAGTGCACGCTTGTCCCTTCGCATCCCAAATCGTTCAGAAAAATAAGAATACCTGGAAATAAAATTACAGTGACTATTTTATTGAGCATTATTGAATACCATATCAAAACACTTGACTAATAGGGGAAGTTCCCTTCCCAAGCTTTTTTTTTTTTTTTTGCTTTTTGTAATTTTTAAAGTTTGTTTTCTTTTTTTGTTTTTTTGTTTCCTATATAAATACATATACTTTTCCTGCGGATCAAAACCGTCCATAAGAGGTTCCCCACCCCACCCGCAACCCTGTTGCTCAGCCAGTCTTTGCTTCGTGCTCAATGGTGGACTGGCAGGGCGGGAGAGGGTGTGTGTTTGTGTGTGTGTGTTGTATCCTCTGTGTGTGTTGCTTTAAGAAAAAAGGCCAGTCCTGCGCTCCACAAAGGGCTGAAAACCGTTCTGGTCTTGTTGCAGGACAGTTGCAAAGGACCCTGAAGCCAGCAAGGAGGTTGAGGAGGGGCGGGAGGAAGAGGAGGAAGAAAGAGTAAAAGGACTTTTGGCAATGGGGGGGGGGATGTTGATGAAGGGTGGAAGAAAAAGGTCTCCAAAATTCTGCTTCTGTAAACATCACCTGGTACGTTGGTTGACACGAACGTGGCTGTTTTGTAAACATTGGAAAAGTCACACAACGCCTTCAAAAATTGCCACAGAAAACGCCGATTCTCCTCCTCCTCCTCCTCCTTAGGACTGGGGGGCAGGGAAAATGGCCTTGCTGCTCCAAGAAAATAAAAAGGGAGGGGTAGACCACCTCTTCGCTCGTGCAAAAGTGTGCCCTGCGTGTGGGCAGGAAGGAAGAGTCCTGGAATGGCACCGATGCTCGCCGTGCTCCGTTTCGCTCGAGCGGCCGGATCTAGCCCAAACAAACATCATGGCGGAGCTGTGGGGTGGGGGCCTGGCGGCCACTGGCTCCTGCCCTCCTTCGTCCCCCTGCCCAGACAGGGGGATGGCTCCCCAAGTATGGCCTTGCAGTTGTTTTTTGGGGTCTTCTTTGCCTCTGAAGTCCAGAACTGAACACAAAATGCCCAGGCTGCCGTTGGGGAGGGGGGTCCCAGAGCTGTTTTGGAGGAAGTTGGGGTGTGTGTGTGGAAGAAGGATGGATGGTGAAATGTCCTGTTGAGAAAAAAAAGCATTGGTGCTAAAGAGCCCCCCAAAATGTCTATGCAAAGAAGGCAATGTGTTTCGTTTCGAAGTCTTTCGAGGAATAATAGAATAACAGTGGGAAGGGAGTCCCAACTGTTTCCCACCAGCTGCAAAGTCATCTTTCCTTATATCAATGTTTCCCCATCTTGGCAACTTTTAAGATGCACGGACTTCAACTCCCAGAATTCCCCAGCCAGCAGAATTTTTCTCAAATTCTGCCACCCCTATCTTCCTGTGACAAACAAAAGTACGTCTCAAAGTTTATGAGAACATTTGAATCAAAAATGAGATCAGCCAAGGTTTAGTTTAAGGATTCTGGCTGTACAAGCAGTGTTAGCCGGACCCCTAAACAAAAACTAAGCTGAGTCAAAACTGATTTTTGCTTGGTTGGGAAATCACTAGAAAAATTTAGGGCCCTGCCAGGAATTTGAAAGATAATCTGGGAAGACATGGATGGCATCCCTGTCCTGTCCTTTTTCCAACAAATGAGGGCTGGGTCAAGGACTTTACTGATTTAGTTTTGTTTACGGAAAAATGAAAACAAATATTAGTTTTGAGAATTTACTTCCTGTTTGCAATTCTTACTGACAAATCACTCTCTGCAGAACTATTGGAAAGAACGTGCTTTTTCTCTCATTTCTTAATAACCAATTCCTTCATTATAATGTGGGCCGATGGCATTTCTTTCCATTTTTGCCTGCACAAAATATTTTGGTTGCTTTTAAATGCCTCCGTTAAAAGTGATGCACCATTCTCCAAATCTTTTTCAGTGGGCAGCGCCTCCCTCAATTGGGACAGAGACTTTCCAAATTTTCAGCCAGCTTAACTACAAATGGATCAACCATCTTAGTGCAAACTGCATTTTTCCTTAACAATTCAGGTTAAACCAGGAGTTACCAGACTCTATTCAGGAAGTGAGATTCTTTACGTGGGCACGTGCAAGACCAAGAGGCAGGGCCTCACCTGGAAAGAGGTCCGGGTGTGATCCTGCGGTCAATCTGACGGGTGTTCTGGGCAGGATCTGTTGACTTCAAACCAGGAATCTATACAGCTGTAGAAGAGAAAAGAGATCCCTCACTGTCCTGCATGGCGTGTGAGGGAAGCTGTGGCAGAAGGAAAGTGTCCCCATGCACGGCTGCTTGTGGGCTTCGGGGGAGCAGCACGCAGGAGCCTTGGGAGACCAGCGGGGTCCTTTCCCATCCTCTTCACCCCTCTGAACCAGGGGGCCCAATGTGGGCCCCAGGCCCTTCATACTCTACCTCTTGTGATAAATGCAGAGGCACGGCAGCCGGGCTATCGTGTCTCCTTGCAGAAGTTCCTCCAGGCAAATGACACATTCGCCCGAATCCTTTGTTAGCACGTCATCTGCAGGAGAGAAAGAGAAGGCAGGATGAGCTGGGTCAGAAAAGGGCAGTTGGGTTCACACAACCCTCTTTGACTAGGCTTGATGAGGAGAGTCGTTTGGGATCTACCAGGTTAGAGGACACCCAGGCACTTTGGGGGAACCCCCGTGTTGTGTGAATCCTCCTCTCAACTCGGGGCCCAAAGCTTGAAAAAGAGACATGTCAAAACTGTGGGGGCTGGGAACGCTGGGCACAGTAGTCCCCACGCATCTGGGGCAGACCAGATGCAGCGGTCTGTTCCCTGCTGTCTCCCCAAAGGCACCGCTGTGTAGACCCACCTTGGCTTGGCAGCTCCAAAAATAACCCCAAAATGTGACAGCAATTGAGGGGGGGAGAAGGGGGAGGATGGCAAAGTTGCTAAGTGCTGGCGGGTTTGCTGGCATCGATCCCTCTGCCTCCCCCCCCCCGTTCTCACCCCCAGCACTTGACCTGAGACAACCTCATGTTAGATGCACGGGAGAGAAGGAGAAGCAAAGGGCTGCCCTGTGGGCAAGGAAGCCATGCTCTGCCGCATCTCGGCTGGCACGGCCCTCTGGCTCAGGCTGGGCAGGTCGCTCTGGCTACAGCACCAAGCAAGGCTGCTGCCCTCCCCTTGGCCCCACTGAGGGGCTGCCTGGCGCCATCCCTGCCGTCTCGGCCTGGCCGGGGAGATCCTCTGGGACATTGGCAGGCTGCAGGGCTGGCACGGGCTGGCACTGCTGCTGGAGCAGATGTCTCCCTGCCTGCCCACCAGGGCCCCTCCTCCCTGGCGGCCGGCAGGCTCCTTCCTGCACCTGGGAAGCAGGGGCTCCTCCCTGCGTTGGGAGCTGGCCAGCTGCCTGAGACAGCGAAGGTGGCAGCCATGCCAGACGAAGCTGGCCCTGCCCTCTGGCTGCTCCGTGCCAGGCAGAAGGGCGCAGTGGAAGGGCACGAGGGGGAGCAGCTCACCCACCACTATTCCCTCCCCCAACTCTGCCCAACTGGGCTGCTGCACGCCAGGCACTCCCTAGACGGCAGCAGAGTCCTCTCCGGAGCCCTTTGGATCAGGCCCTCCCCTCCCTGCTGCCTGCCAGAGGAGCCACAAGCGGGCAGCTCATCTTCCCTGGGGGCTGGCAGGGCAGGAATAGGTTGGCACCCAGTGCAGAAGCAGTAACGCAAACAATTGCCTGCTGAAAAAGAAAGGAAGTTGGCCTTCGTACGGAGGCAGAAATGGGGGCCCTTCTCTCCCTGCCTCACCCGACACCCGGCTCGGCCTTTCGCACCCAGCGTGTCAGGCCGGGCCTCATGCCACGCACACAGAAGTGGGGAGACGCCAGGCGAGCAAGGCGGGGCACAAGGTGGCCAGAGAGCTAGCAGGAGGAACAGGACTGGGAGAAGCGGGTTGGACACCTTCTTGGACACCACCCGGAAGGCCGGGCTGGGAAAGGCCTCCCGGTGCCCCCGGCCTTGCTCCCTGCAGCCACTGCCAGGCCTGGCAAACGGGGGTCCGCAGGCTGACAAGAAGAACTCACCATTGTAGGAGAGACGGGGTTTGCTCAGACACATGATAAAGTGCATTTCCATTTCATCGGAAGCCACTGATTTGGAGCAAACGGGGCACTTGAAACCTGGAAAAGGGGAGAGAGGAGGAAGCAGGTTAGGCAGCAGACTTGAAACCCCCCCTCCCCCCAGATGCAGAGCAGTTTGCAGGAAGAGGTTGACATGTGTATGCCTGGGCATGCAAGCACAATCAAAATTGAGACTAAAATTTACATGGTTAAATGAGAAATTTGTTAAGTGAGTTTTGCCCCATTTTACAACCTTTCTTGCCGCAGTTGTTAAGCGAATCACTGCATTGTTATATTAGTCACACGGTTGTTAAGTGAACCTGGTTTCCCCCTTGATTTGGCTTGTCCGAAGGCCACAAAAGGGGATCACGTAACCCCAGGAGACTGCGACCGTCATAAGTGCGAACCAGTTGCCCAGTGTCTGAACTTTGAACACAGGACCCTGGGGATGCTGCAATGGTCGTAAGTGTGGAAAACGGTCATAAGTCTCTTTTTTCAGTGGCGTTATAACTTTGAACAGTAACATTAAATGAACTGTTTTAAGTCAAGGACTACCTGTATTAACTTTCTACAAGGATACTAAGCAGATTTCCTAGCTCAGTTATGAATCCCCAGGGCCAAACCCATCGTTCCTGCTGCACCAAAGCAAGCACCGTTGTGTTAAATGGAACAAAACAGTTGCCAAGCTGAGCACCACAAAAAGCGATCCGAAAGCTCAGAAACAAAACTGTACATGGGGGAAAGGGCTTTTTTTTTTTTAATACCGCCTTACTTCCATGATCCAAAATGACATTTTGCCCGAGGTTTAACGTTGTACGGTTAAAAACCTGACAGGAGCAAAAATAAAAATAAAGGACAGGATTCTACTGGTTTCAAAATTCAGCTCCTTTCCAGCGTTTAATGCAAAGGGAAATGTTTAATTTCCCTGTCTGCAAATGCGGGCTCTCTGCGTGGTCCCCGTGCCTCCCCTTCCAAGACTGGAGAAGCTGAAGGAGGGAGAGGAACGGTCTCACAGCTATTCTCCTGAAGGATGGGCAAATGCAACGTAAGAGGTGCAAAGCGAGCTGGGATTTTATTCTTATATAAACCAACGTGCTGAAAATTACTCAGTTTATATAAACCATCTGAGACAGCCGAGATGCAAAAGCAGGGGGTTGCACTATTTCTTTTTGCAGATTTTTTGCTGGCTGTACGAACCAGAAAACAGAATATAACAGAAAAGCTGAGCCCCCTCCGCCCTTTGGGTGGGCCCAGCCCCTTCTTTTTTTTTTTTTTTATTGAAAGTTTTATAAATTTTACAAAAAGACAAAAACAATACAAAACAAAAGACAACATATACAAAAAAGAAACTAAACATTACATATATATAAAAAAAAAAAACCCCATCCCCCACCCCTCACAAAAACCCTCCCTTCCCCCCCCTGAGCTTCCCAGAGCAGAATATAGGCTTAATTAAAAATTAAGAAATAAAAATAAAAAATTAAATTAAAAAATTTATATATATATATATATATAAAAAAATCTATATATATATATATAAAAATAAAACTTATAAAAAAGCTATGTGATAATTTTCTAAACCAAATCTAAATTGTATAAATTTTATCCATTTGTCCCAAACAGCAAGGAACTTCTCTTGCGTTTGTTGCTTTAAGAAAGCCGAAATCTTTGCCATTTCCGCCAGATAAGCATGAAGGCCTGACCACAGCTGCTGCCGTTTCCCTAGGGCTTAGCGCGCCCCCCCCTCCCCCCCGTGAATTATAACCCAATTACAGCGGATTCAATAGCTCGTGCTGAAGACGCGGTTAAACAGCTATTAAATCGCATATGTCAGCCAGCCCATTTCTGAATAATCCTGGCCAGGATTTCAAAGGATAGAAGCACGAACAATGATCTTGTGCGTGAGAGAGAAGATTCTTTCCGCCCGCTGCAGTTAAGGCTCTAGGACAGTGGTTCTCAACCTGTGGGTCGGGACCCCATTTGGGGTCGAACGACCATCTCACGGGGGTCGCCAAACAACGCAGTCCGCCATTTCCCCCCCCCCCTTTTCCTTAGCTGTGCTACACCCTTTTATTCTATTGGCTTTTGAAAGCCAGTAGAATAGACTCTCTTGAATAGAGTCTAATTCTATTGGCTTTCCAAAGCCAATAGGAATTGTCCAGGCTGTCTCTGCCCTGCTGAGCCTGCCAAAAGTCCCATTCTGCAAACGGTGCTGCACCAGTTGAGTAGTCCTCGACTTACGACCAGTTGGGGGTCGCGGCATTAAAAAGGTTGAGAACCACTGCTCTAGGATGTCTTAGGTCAGGAGTCCTCAAACACAAGGTCCCTTCCAACTTTATTATTATTATTATTGGTGGCCGATGGATGTCTCTGTACAGAGCCATTTCCATCCAAGGTTTCTTGGAGAGATTATTTTGATCTCGCTGCTGTCCCAAACCCTCAAAGGTGTCTCTGGAAAAGAAGAGGACCGGATCTAGTGAGACTGAAAGCAAAAATGACTTCTGCTGTCACCCGCAAGCTCCACTCGGCCTTCGGTCGTGCTTTTCCCCAAAGAGCTGACCTTCTGGGCTGGCAATCCTGGCTGGCGTCGCCTCCCCACTGCAAAAAGTTGGCCAGCTCATCTGGCAGGGGGCAAAGCTGGAGAATTGCGAAGATCAGGCTAGGAAAGGCAGACGCAGCCTACGGGGGAGGCGCTGTCGACCGAACCCAGGAACCGCTCCTGGCCCACTTCCACCAAAAGGAAAACCAGCATGTCCTTCATGCTCTTCTCCGCAACTCGAATTTTGGTGCCCCAACAATCAGCCACAGAGTTGTGGCTCTCACGGCTGTGTGAAAGGCTCAGTGCTGCCGGTTTGGGATTTTCAGCTCCCAGGAACTAAGGCTGTTTGCAGAATGAAGCGGCTGGCCACAACCAAGCAAGGATTTTGTTATATGAGCATTTTATCCTGGGACTGCGATGCAGAACTCTTCCGTGCACGGTGCTTGCTCCCGGACTGATGTCTTGAGGTTCTTTTGCCTTCGTTGTTCGGGGCTTCTCCTTCCAGTAACTTCTCAGGAGGCTTCTTATGCTGCTGAGTTGTGTCTCTTCCAATCCAGCCAAGTAATTCTCCACTGGAGCAGAAGGCTTAGAGCAGCAGAACCTGCTTCGCAGCATTTTTGACACCTTGTCCTTGGACGCCTTAGGAAGGAGGGGAACGATGTTTGCAAGGGAAAAAAGAAGGGCTGTTCTTGCTGAAGATATATTTCACTGCACACCCAGACAGCACAATTGTGACTATTATTGTTATGGTTAGTCATGCAGTCAGCCAGATGTTTAGATTGGCTCTGCCATTTTTATCTACCTACTGAGTCCTTCCCAAGGACCTGAGATAGACAGATATTGTTCTTGGATTATGTTAAAGCAGCCGTCCCCAACCTTTCCACCTTGACGGCCTGGCCTAGTGTGGAGGGGGCCAGGTGAGTGGCAGGCACAGGCGCACAGCTCCATTGGTGTGAGTGGCAGACACGCGTGTGTTCCACTCAGGTGAATGGAGCTTTTTGTGTGTGAGCAGAGGCTGCTTGCGTGCAAAGCTCTACTCATGCAAGCAGAGGGCGCTTGCACTCGTGTACACGCGTGAGCACAAGCTCCCTCCACTCATGCAAGTGGAGCTTTGCACATATGCACTTGTCCACCGTTTGCACAAGTGAACCTTTGCGTGTTTGCCTATCGCTCAACGCGGTCCCACCAATTCTTGCTTGCAAGCAAGTGGTATTTCTTGCAAATATTCCAATGTACCATTGTTGCTGTTTTGTCATGCGTTGTTTATAGTTGCTCTGTACAATCTTCTTACTGCAGCTAACCAAGTTCTCTGTTTCTTCAGCCTTTTTTGCAAAGGTGACATTTGTTGCTCTCTTCTCAATTCTGACTTTGTATACATTTGTTCTTAAGACTTGGTCTTGTGCAGTCAGAATTAGCTTCTCTGTCATATTACTACTACTACTACTACTATTATTATTAATATTAATAATATTAATTATCGCACAGTCAGCCAGGTGTTCAGATTGGATTTGGCATTTTGCCTACCTATCGAGTCTTTACCAAGGACCTGGGATAGGCAGATGTGGATGTTTGATGGTGTGACAGATATCGTCGCAGGATGGAAGCTGTTATTATTATTGTTGTTGTTGTTGCAACTTTAGCATCCTTTTCTACACAACAGCTAGAAGGAACTTGCAGGTGACTCCTGTTCCTCTGCCTGGGCATTTCCTTTCCTTTTCAAAAATGAAAGCTTTTGTATTGGTCCTTCTTCGACTGCATTGTTATCTTCTCTAAGAGATGGGGGTAATTTTGATTTTCTCCTTCAGTCTCCTAAAGCATTAACTCTCTCAGCTCTGTGTCATCTGCAAATTCATTAAGTATGCCTACACCGCAGCAATTACATTTGGAAAAGATTCCAGCTTAGTGTGCTTCAGAGTTGAAAGGAGCTTGGGCAAAGATGATGGTGCTGCTTTTTGTCCCTTTTCCTTACAGTAATTGACAGGTTGCAAGAGAAAAAAGGGGAAAGTAGTAATTGCCTGAGAAGGAAACCCAACCTCATTAAAAGAAACTTCAGACTGATGGGATGGAAGGGGATATCTGTAGGCTGATCCACAGAATTGCTTGTCAAAAGCCCTTTTAAAATGTGTTTTTCAAAATTGCAGGATGTTGTAAGGCAGTTTTTTACTTTCAGTTAATGAAGTTAAACTGTGTGAACTTCAATTCCCACAATGCCCCAGCAGACAAGCTTTAAGATGTGTGGGCTTCAAGTTTCACTTAGCCTATGAGTAAACTTTAGAGTATTATTAATAGTTTTTTTTAAAAAAAATATTAGTTTTAGTATGGTTTAACAATATTGATTTGTTTATATAATTATGTTTATTTTTAATTTGTTTATATTTATGTTATAAGGGAGTTAAAGTGTGTTATGGACTTGGTTACTTGTATAGTTGGGTAATGTTTTTTAGAGTTTGATTGTTTATTTGTAACCCTGTACTCAGCTCTGGGAAGTGGGGCGGGGGGGTGGGTGGGGGGGTCTTGGGAT